TAAACTGAGAGACTGGCACGTTGTTACGTTTCCTTGAACCGATGATATTAAATATAAAACTCACTCCATTCGGGATTGTTTGTTGTTTGTTAAATCATATTAAGTTTAGTAACTATATTGTGTTATGGTTTGTTTTCCCATTGTTCTAATTAAGCAAGTGCGTGGCACCTAAGGCGACTGGACCATTCATGTCCCTAACGATTCTGTGTTGAAGGAAGTAATCGATCAATAGCCAAAGGTTGGAAGACTCACATTAACACGTGAACTAAATACGTCACAATGGAATTCCCTTTGAGCATCCTAGAGTTATTGCTATATCAGTTGGGCCTTTTGTATAGAAAAACACGATAACGCTAACAAATTGCACGATAATATAAGTCACGCTATGGATAAGCAGCGCTTGGATACTTACCTCCATGAGAGCATGCACTAAAGGTGCGTAACTTGTACTGATTGTTTGTTTGTTGTTTAACGCCGCACCCAGCAATATTCCAGCTATATGACGGCAGTCTGTTAATAATCGTGTCTGGACCAGACAATCCAGTGATTGACATCATGAGCATCGATCCACGCATTTGGGATACATGCATCAGCGAGCCTGACCACCCGATCACGTTAGTCGCATCTTACAAGCATAGTCGCCTTTTTACGACAAGCATGTACTTTGTAAGATAAATTAATATAAAAATACACACACTTTAAAAGTCTTCAAAGGTTATGTGGTGTGGTACACAAAGACATTCCAACATTTTTTACATTTTCTCATTAATCTCTATTCAATGTGAACATGATATATTGTTTGCATTCGTTTAGGAGAATATTGTAACCAATTTATTTCATAATTTAACATTATCAGATTACATATGTAAGGGAGAGAGAGGGACAATTTATTTATTCAAGAAAAACAAACATATCTAGATGATGAAGGAGTAAGCATATACTCCGAAACGTTGTGTTCCTCATAATAAAGAAATTGTCATCCATATATTCTCTTCCTTATGTGTATCACTTCTAAATGCCTTTCAAAGACCTGATATCTAGATGACCATTACATACATAATTCACAGGCATGCGCAGTTCACAAATATTAAATCAGCATCTCCAGCGAGATGATGGTTACATATTTATAACTTTCCCCGACATTACACAGTTACTCAATTCAAGGAGGCCTACAATTAGCGTACAATGCAAGCTGACAACTGTCACAGTCAGATTGATCAGGTGACGTCACTAATTGCAGATACACTGACTTGCCGGTTGTGAGAATTTATGGCTATCTGTCTAGACACAAGTCTAATCTTGGTGTCACCGCTCATAAGCCCATTACTCACGCATATCAGGGCAATTGAACACAGAGCTTATGGGGGGATTAATTAGTTTATTGTTTTACAGTTATCAGCTACAAAGTGTGTGTTCAGACACGGACAATCAACACACAGCCCCGAGGCAATCAGACTGGCTGGAGGGCTAGGTGTTAATTGTTGTGAGATAAAACTATCTTAAGTAAGATGTGATGATAGAATTGGGGTGTTTTAAATAAAATGTCCTTCCAAGCTTGTATAACAAAATCCAATAAACATACAAACACCCACCTCACCCGGCTCCCTTAGTTCCCTCCTCCACCCACCTCGGCATTTATTCCAAATTTAAAAATTCCAAAAATTCAATATAATTAAGCAACCCATAAAAGCCCCCTCTTGGGTTGCACACACCATTTCACCCTTTTCGGAATACACTAAATGGCCCGGCCAGGCCCGTATGCGAAATACGCTACAGTCGGAAAGCGCACGTTAAATCTTCTATATCAGTCAGTTGTATAACAGCTATATCCCCAGTGGTTAAATTTGAATTCGCGCTCGCTGTTCGAAAATGTTTCATCATATTTCAAGAATAACTTTATATTAATAACTTACATTAAACATATGTAAAAACTGACGTGTGAGTTCTTGTGATAATATTTAGGCCCATGGTTTAAACCAATATTATTCAATATAAAATGGACCTGTGAAGATCCGGGTTTGACAAAGAAACAAAGAAAAAATATGAAATGGGTCACTCCAAAATGTAGGAATAACAACGAATTACCTATTTTACATCTGACAAAAAATGATCAAGAAAGGGTTTAGTCCTTGCAATGATCACTTGAATGTCTTTTTCTTTGAAAACCTTTTTGTTTAAGGACATCATTATTTAGAGCAAGGGTAAAATTTGCCGAGCAACATAACGTCATCTATTAAGCTTTCCTTAGATCATTGCAATGAGCATTTCGGTTGCTATACTATTATCCTGCCACGAGTTTCCGCATATTACCACTCAGAGAACATATAACCTGAACAACTTATAGCACTACTTGGTAGTCTCTGATGCGAATTTAGGTTGCTCGCAATTTGTTATAAATATGATTGAAGCTAATTTTAGATACAAATTGTTTTCTTATTACCTAAAACCAGAGACCATACAAAATCTATTTTATGGCCTCTGCTATAACACTTTTGATGGCATTGTACAACATAAGTAGTGTTTTACTCGTCCCGCGGAATAAATAACGTCATAAATATAACTGGAAAGTGTGTTTAGTCGTTCTAAGTATAAATCATAACCCTAATTGATAATATTGTTATATACGACATAGAAGCACAAGTATTTCCAAGTTATTACTCCACCCCCACTTGAAGCACTACAAAAGGGCGGGATTCTGCACGTGGGTTGGTGTGTGACGTCACGTCACCTGTGAGGCCCTGATGTTGACGGATGTGTCTAGCGCCGATACTGTATTCCTGACACATTTATCAGTATATTCTGTCATCCTCAAACGCTATGTCAAGACAGCTCTTATCTATGTTTATCCCTTCCTTCAAAGGCCGACCATCACGTTTGTCGGATCAACAAGGCACGCAACTTTCAGTTATCTGAAATCATTTACATTTTAGATGAGGAAAACATGATAATTACATATCACTGTACAAAACATATTTTGCATTTTATTGTTTTAAACGTATGGAATGTAAAAACATTTTTTATATCTTTTTGTTTCTGATAGTAGGAGCAAATTATTTACTATGAACAACAACAGCGACTCTATAATATATTTTTAAACACAATGTTTTAATGTATTAACACACAATTAAAGTGGGTTAGCAACAAGTACTTAAACCTGGAGCAGGCGAATCCCATGTATGATAAAATTCATAATTATATTACTTTCATTATGCATTATATTTATTTATTCCCATGTAAGGGTATAAAATGTACAACATATGATACACTGATCATGCTGGAAAAAACATCACGTTTTAACAACAGCTCAAAGTGTGTTATTTTGTTTTCTTATGGTGATCGATGGCGGAGTTACCTCCCTTCTCCCAATAACCTGTATTTTGTTTCAATGAACTTCTTTCTTTAAAAAATTGTGGACTTTAAAAGACCCATGTCTAAAATGAATATTTATGTGGGCACGGAGTGCAATTTTATATATAAACATTTTAATTTTGTTAAACGCATATTTTGCACATTTAACCAAAAATCTTAAATTTTCAGGTTAGTCAAAATATATCATTTGAAGTTTGAAATATCATGGTAACTTGCCACATAAACATTCTACCTTAATCTAGGAAGTGTCTTGAATTTCTAGTTAGAATGATTAGTCAGAACACAGGGGTTAAGTAATGTCTCAGCGCGTGCGGTTGATAATATCGCTTGTCGTCATCTGCTATCGTTTCATATCTTCGGATGCTCCGAGCAAAACAGTAATGATATCACCCGCTTGGGATAAGTCCACATTTTATCCCGAGGCTCCTAATGTGTACCACGTGTGATGATATAATCCGCTACCGTCAGAAAAGCCACATTCAATTTCAATTTGTAAAGTGAGTCTTAACATATTCGAGCTTATCTATTGTTTCCATACCAATTGGTGCATTTGTTGACTTGAAAGGTATGGGTGCCGTCCCTTCATAAGAACGTCCTCTTGGATGATAATTATTGTAAAGTTGTGTAAATTGCTTTGAGTTTCTTTGTTCCCAGGTTGACCCGCCTGATTAATTGGCTGGTAGTGTTTACCCTCCAACACTACAGATTGTGGCCAACAGGTAAAAAACGGAGGACAGGTATGTCCACGAAGGTTTGCATAGAGCCCGCTTGGCCTCTCGGCTCTGTTTTGATTGGACGGTTTAGCTGTCAGTCATTTTCGTGGGCGGAGCGGATCTACGCTTGACTGAGCCCAGCTCGATGGAATCTCGATATATTTGTACTTATTTTAAGCAGTGATGCTCGGAGTTGTTGTGACACGGGGAAAACAGAGCCAGGAGCGATTATATCAGTTTATTACACGAATATGATGTTGTGGCACACAGCGTTGTTAATATAATAAAGACAAACTGCATGTAACATGTATTCACAATGATGCTCGTATGTAACCTAAATTCTGTTCATGACTGTGGATAAATGTTATACCATTTGTGTTATACCCTCGGGTTGAAGAAAAATACCACACAGACTTTATGACCAGTGCACTTGTTTTCGGTTGCAATAACGTTTAAAGAAAACCCGGTCGTCTATTGCTTATTTGTGAAAAGCCATTAGGTTTTTAAATTTGAGAACAGGTGATTTATTAACTTGGAAATTGACTGTACAACCATGTCATCAACTTTGCTTTTGTATTTTTTTCTTAAAGTTAACTTTGAAACGTGTTCATAGACATTCAACACACATTTCTGAAACCTGAGAAAATATACGAGTCACTGCGCGTTAAAAATGTAAACTATGGCACGACAATTTAGAAATGAGGATAGGTAATCGATAAATTAGGCCTTGGTTGAAAATCGTTTCTTTCCAGTTGTCAAACGGACATGAACTGGAGGTCTACTATTTTATCAATGCAAGAGGCGTGGCCTATCAGGCGATGTCTGTCTCGCAACCTTGTGGTTACTGACAATACACACAGCCGGCCTGTCAATCAATATACAGGGGGCGGAGCGATGTGACGTCACGTTCCCATTGCACGCATTCGCTACCGTGAGAGATACTCGGGCTTGAGAGAATAATGTCTTACCGTGAAAACACTGTGTGTGTTTGAATTTGAGTAAATGTAAGAAGCCACGGATATACATTCAAGATGATACCAATGTAAGTAAGAATGTATCTTGTGGACTGTGTACGTTTGTGTCACTGTGGATGTCCGTTAGAGGGCCGAAGGCTGTAAAGGTGTACTGCGAGAGTGATATCGGCCGATTGACGGCGGTGACACAGGAAATACGCTTGTGACGGACCTCAAAGTTCACCTGGATATCAAAGACGTTATCAGGAGGTTTGTACGGCCACCATGCAAAACTTAGGCCATTGTTTTGTCACAGGAACAGTTTGATGATGGGAAGTTTGGAAAGGAAGATCGTGTTTGTTGGTTAGCGAGCTTGTATACAGCTTCACGACTCAGGTGTGTACATAGGGCTCGTGCGACCGTGCGTGCGCTACTGCTGAAACATGGCCTCGACCAAAAACAGCATTGAGAGGCCCGCTCCTAGGACTTCATATCATGTCATATGTATCATATTATTACAGTTTTTAGTGAAATTTTCTCAAGGGCAGGGCCCAGGTGTGATATTTTACATACCCGAAGAGTCACCGGCTGGGACGACGGTGGGAACTATCAACACAACGGCAGGGTATACTTACACAATGCCTACACCGTCGCTATATTTCACTTTAGAAAGTTCAACAGGCAAAATTACAACTTTACAAGTTTTAGATCGGGAGTCACTAACTCAAGATCAGATCAATATTTTCATCATAGGAAGGCATTCTGTTCGGCCTAGTTTACCTATGGAAATCCTTGTTCATGTTCTGGATATTAACGATAATTTCCCAGTTTTCCAGGAATCTGTGTATCAAGTTGCAATACCCGAAAATTCGCGAACTGGCTCCCAACAACTTTTAGTCACTGCTTCAGATGCTGATAAAGGGGAAAATGGCACAATTTCAAGTTATAGAATTATTTCAGGCAACGAGGAGAATAAATTTCGGCTAATTCCCCCAAGTTCCATAACACCGTTTATGTATTTGGAAGTTCAAGGTGTTTTGGATAGAGAAAACAAGGACTCCTACAAACTGAATGTTTCGGCCAGTGATGGTGGGACCCCACCCCTATATGGATTCATACAATTAGATGTTACAATAACCGACACCAATGACAACAACCCAACGTTTAACCCGAGTGAGTTTGAAGCTAAAGTGAATGAGAGTGCACCAGTTAATACTGCAGTTGTAACTGTCCATGCAACAGACGCTGACAAAGGTTTAAACTCAGAAATTGTGTACCGATTGACTGACGAGAACAGTGAACAGTTCACAGTGGAGGAAAGGACAGGTGTGATCAGGACATTGAGGACGCCCTTGAGTTGTACCAGAATCTGCGCTCGTTCCTTGAGGTGTAACCCCAGCAGCTGCCTGATTACGGTTGAGGCGTCTGACAGAGGATCACCATCCCTCCTTGGCCGTGCTTACATCACTGTCATCATCAATGACGAAAATGATCACGATCCCATCATAAGTTTTAATCACTACCCGGACCGAAGTAAGGATTTCTCAACGGTGGATGAGAATGTAAAACCAGGTAAAAAAATTGCATCCGTGACTGTCCTTGACGATGATTCTGGTGAAAATGGTAACACGACGCTCTCGATCATTGGTGGGAATGAACTTGGACATTTTAAGCTTGTCACACTCTTCAGCCAGTACTTAAGTATTAATTTGATTCAGGTTATTGGGGATTTGGACAGGGAGAAAGTGAGCATGTATAACCTCACAATGAAAGCAGTGGATCATGGATACCCTCAACGCAGTTCAACTGGTAATCTGATTGTCTATGTAAGCGATGCTAACGACCACGCTCCAGTGTTTGCAAAACATGAGTACAGGGTAAAAATGAGTGAACTTGAGTTGCCAGGTAGTTTTGTGGAAAGTGTGACAGCCTCTGATGAAGATTCAGGCCCCAACTCTGCATTGTCATATTCAATTGTGACCGGAAATGACCTGAATTGGTTCCGAATCGATCCATCTACAGGTCTGGTGACCACCCAGGACAAGCTGGACCATGAAACTACCTTCCAGGTCATCATGAATATATCGGCAAAAGATGGGGGTGCCCAGATATTCAGAAACTACACCACATTAATTGTCGACATTAGTGATGAGAACGATGTGATTCCAACATTCGATCGGTCCGTGTATGACGTAAAGGTTCGGGAAAATGTAAGTGTCGGGTCGGACATCATCACACTCACAGCGACAGACACTGATGAAGGCTTGAATGGAACTGTCCGGTACCTGTTTCACCCGAGTGTTGCCCGAAGCTACCCAAACACATTCCAAATTAATTCAATCAGTGGTAGGATCAGAACAGCTAAAGAATTAGACAGAGAGACTGTTCCTAAATACACCATCTTGGTCATCGCTAGAGACGGTGGAAACCCATCCCTTTCCTCCACAGCGTCTGTGATAGTAAGTCTGAATGATGTGAACGACAATGCCCCAACATTCCGACCCCGACAATACTTCAGCAGCATCCTTGAGAACCAGCCTTCGGGGACTGATGTGGTCCAGGTGTTTGCCTTTGATCCGGACGAAGGACTCAACAGACGCATCACCTACAGCTTCTTCGGGGACAGCTTCAGCAGCTTCTCCGTCGACACATCCACTGGATGGGTTCGGACAACCAAGCAGCTGGACAAGAGTCGAAGCCCTTACCGTCTCACCGTGCGGTGCACTGATGGTGGGGGGAAGATTGCATCCCCTGATGCTTCTCTGGAGGTTACTGTCGCCAACGTTAACGACCCTGCTCCACAATTTAGTGGTCAAAGCTATACATTCTCTATTGAAGAAGTTGGTGAAAATCAGATTCCTGATGTGAGCAGAAGTGTTGGAAGAGTCACAGCTACCTTGTCCGATAACTCGGCTGTAACATATGCTATTGTGGGAGGGGATCCCTATGGAGTGTTCAACATGGACAGAACATCCGGGCAGATTACCACGGTGAAGAAAGTGGACAGGGAAGCACAGTCTGAGTTCCACCTGAAGGTAATTGCAAGTGGTGGGTCTCGGTTCCGGGAAACATCAGTGAAGGTTGAGGTCACCGACATCAATGATAACTCACCTGTCTTTGTGGACCAAACCCTGGAAACCTCCGTCCATGAGAACTGGCCGATTGGCCGCAACATCTACCACGCAGAAGCCAGGGATTCTGACTTTGGCCCCAACTCTGATCTCTCCTACACCCTGACATCCAATTCTAACAATGTCTTCATGATAAAGGCCCAGACAGGAGTGATATACCTGAACAAGCCACTGGACCAGCTGCCATCCAACAGAAGCACGCACACCCTCACTGTGACTGCTACAGATGCCGGAACTCCCCAGCTCTCGACTACGGTTGACATCACTGTCTACATCCAAGATGTCAATGATCATAATCCTGTGTACCAAAGCAGTCATTACGAGAGATCTATCCATGAGTCTAAACCAGTCAATGAACCAATATTCCAACTGATTGCCATTGATGAAGACTTGGGCCAGAACGGTGCTCTTGTGTACAACATCACGCGAGGAAACCTGCAACATAGGTTTGGCATATTTCCTGACGGTACTCTATACGTTGCCCATGGACTGGACAGAGAAGAGAGGGACATCTATTCTCTGTCTGTGACAGTCAGCGACCGGGGCGCAGAACCCAGAAGCTCGGTAGCCAACATAACGTTTCATATCCTTGATGACAATGACAACAAACCCGTGTTTGGAAACAATACTTACGAATTCTATGTCCGCGAAAACATGCCTCTGAGAACATTCACTGGAACAGTCCACGCAACTGATGCTGATATTGGTCGCAATGCAGAGATTATCTTCTCAGTTGGTGGTGATCAAACCAACTTTACTATTAATCCTCAAACTGGAGAGGTATTAACATTGAAATCTTTTGATCGAGAAGGTATGCAGACTTTAATGGGAAGAGATTATTATGCGTTTGAGGTAACAGCAAGTGATAATGGGCTTAAGCGTCTTCATGAAACAGCCTTAGTGAAAGTTTATGTCACTGATGATAATGATAACCCACCAGTCTTCTCGAAGCAGATCTACACTTCCTCTGTGATGGAGAATGCCCAGCTTGGAGTCCGTCTCACAACAGTCACAGCCACTGATGTTGATATTGGAGAAAATGGGGCCATTTCTTATGTGTTCATGTCAGGAAATGAACAGAAGAAGTTCAGGATTGACGAAACAACGGGTAATGTTGTTCTCATTGCTGAGCTAGATCGTGAAACGGTAGATCGCTACAACCTGATCATCCTGGCCACTGACTCCGTGGACGTGAGCAACCGCCTCAGCGCTACTGCTACTCTGCACATCACCGTCATGGACTTTAATGACAACATACCTTTGTTTGTGTCACCTCCATCTGAAACCAGCATCCTGGAGTCGGCCCAACCAGGAGAACTCATTGCCTCCTTCTCCGCAGTGGATGATGACATTGCCAACAATGCTGTCCTCTTCTTCGACATCAACCTTGGCAATAATGGAAACTTCTTCAACCTTGATCGGCACATGGGCAAACTGTACCTGAACAAACCCCTGGACTACGAGAACAACCAGAAGTTTACGTTGGAGATCATGGTGTCTGATGCAGGAGATGGTGACCACCAGACTCTATCCTCCAGCACCTCCTTCGTCATCAATGTCCTCGATGTCAACGATAATGCTCCCATATTCAGTGATGGGGCCATCTCAAGCACTGTGAAAGAAGATTACCTAAAGGGCAGGAACGTGGCTGCAGCCAATGCTATCGATGCTGACTCAGGCCCAAATGGGCAGATTAGGTACAGCATCATTCAACAGAACCCTATGGGCAATAACTTCCAGATTAACCCAACAACTGGTGATATTTACATTCATGAGATGGTTGACCGAGAAGTGTCTGAACTCTACACAGTAACCGTAATGGCAACAGATCAGGCAACAGATCCACTTTTGAGACTCTCCTCCAAGAAAATGGTCAACCTCATTATCATTGATGTAAATGACAACGCACCAACATTTAAGTCTCAGAATACAATTCCTGTGTCTTCGAGTGCCACCCGTAGTGTCATCACCAGTGTTGAAGCAGATGATCCTGACTCAGGTGAGAATGGACGCATATCATTCAGTATGGTTTCTGGAGACAATACCTTGTTCTCAATCTCCTCCAGTGGACAGTTGTCCCTGTTGAAGAACATCCCTGTTAATCCTGTCTCCTACTCCTTGACCATCAAGGCCTCTGATCATGGACAGGACAATGGGAGGGACGATCGGAAATCAACAAACATGGATTTTACTGTTTTGGTCGTATCTCAAAATGGTGGTCCTATATTCTCATCGCCTTCGTATAGTAGTGGTGTTCAAGAGAACAAGCCCGTTGGTACAAGCGTGTTGCAAGTTGACGCGACATCGTCCCAGTCCGGATTACGTGTAGAATACTACCTCACAGACGTTTCAGGCTCCGTTGGAAGGATATTTGACATTAATAAATCAACCGGAAGGCTTACCACTGAACAGGTTCTGGACAGGGAAAAATTACCGGAATATGTGGATGTCACCATTTATGCTGCACTGATGGGTGGGAATGGCCCAAGAACACGCTCTACTCAGGTAAGTCAGTTACCATTTCTATGTTGAAGATAGACAACTCTTCCAAAATTGGTTACATCAATACTATTTGAACCGCTGTTGGTCTGTCACCTGTGACTGATTACAGTAGCGTAAAGAACGAGTCTTGTACAATTCTGTTTGGTCTGGTAAGATCAGTTGGTAATGGTTCATATTATAACCATGATAACACTAAAATTGACTGAAAATACTGCTTGCTTCGAGCAAGTTTGGGCTAGTGGGCTCAAAAGTGTTTGGCAAAAATCGGTAGATCCAATTTCAGTGGTGTGACAATGATGTAAGAAAATGCACACATTGTTGAAATGTTGTTTTGATCAGTATTGAAATGTAACCAGTTTGTTATTCAGTTGTTAACTGTTAAGAGGGATTATTTGAAATCACCATAGAAACAACTCTTTTTATATTATGGAGACGTCATAATAATCTCCCCTGAGAACTAAGCATAGATATATGCCAGTGTGTCACACTGATTATTTTGCACATGATATAACCAAGGAACTATTTTTGTCAAATTTGAATTTAAGGACAAGTTTTTGAAATTTTGAGACCAGAAAAAATATCGGTTTCATGGTATATTCAAATATTTTCTCTTGTATTAAATTTCATGTCAAACCTTATTCTCCACAGGCCTGCAAAAATACATTAACACTGCAACAGAGCCATTTGGTGACACTGTATACATCGAGTCCTACATTATTATTGGTTTGCTTTGAAAACTCCTAACATTACACATTCTTTGCAAGTGCCCCAAGTAGCTGCACAAACAATACATGATCTGTCAGCTTAGAATATTCTAGCATGTCAAATGGACATAATTGAAATTCAAATCTTGGCAAAATATGTTTTTCTTAATGTATTTCCATATCAACAAAGCATTCTCTTGACGTGGCGTTTGCATGTCCCCGGGAAAACACTTATCTCTCCAAATATCTATAATGAAATTTGAATACTTTTTTAAATCGTTGAAGTAACCTGTTTTAAGATGAATCATGAAAGTATTATTTTGTTTTTCTCTCATTTTTTCGCGAAACACATGATTGATTTTAACAAAGATAATAAATGATTGTAACATCCATTGTCTAAATCCCTATGGTAATATTTGAATAAATTTTAAAGGGATCCCGTAGGTTTGAATTCTGTTTTAAATTCAGTTTGTTCTTTTAGCGGGTTCAAATAAGCTTTGTCTTGCATAAAACCTCTTGCATAACAGCATACTCGTTTCCCATGGGATTCCAGGCTCGTTGTTAGGATCAATAATAACGCAATAACAGCATCGCAGAAACATATCCCATGATTCTCAGCATTGTACCTGAAAAGGGGGAGCTGTTGACAACGATTGCAGTGACTACTGACCTACTAAAGGCCAACTCTACTTCTATCCCTCAGCTGAACGATATTGACTTGGTCAAGACACCTACTGTTCACGGCTATTCGCAATAGATCTATTGGTATGGAGCTTTTCCGTCCATGCCATTGAAAGTGGTGGTATTTGGCTCGGTGTGTAATCTGTTTATACTGGATTGGTTTTCATTCTTTATATGTTATGTCAGGTCGGTACCTGTGGGGCGGGGGTAAGAACTGCCTGGCGTACTGCACTTGTGTGGAAATCATTGTTAAAGGGGGTTCGCCAGCCATGGGACTATTATTGGGGGCTTGACTTTAATTCTGTATGCTGTATCGAAAGGAAATAATTATGTCTGTGTCTTTCAATTGAAAATGCTTTGAAATAGTTTAAAGGGGATAGACAAAGTTGTGAATGTACATCATAGAATCGTAAAGTATGTAAGTGAAGTTTAATGCTACAGTCAGCAATGCCGCCATATTTTCTTAAATTTAGTGCACACTTTCCCCCCCAAATACAGCTGTGTAGAGGAGGTTCACAAAATACATGTAATGAGTTTTGAAGTTTTTTCCCCAACGCAAAGACATTAACATGTGCACGTAACACCGGAAATACCATGAAGGCTTCACTGCGAAATGCATGTACGTTAATATTGTTGATGCAGCAGAAACAATATTCACTCACTCCAGCAATATTCAAGCTATACTAGAAACCTGTAAGCCAAGTAATCATTCCAAATAATCATGTGAATACGCTGAATTATCATGTGAATATGCTGAATTATCATGTGAATAGGCTGAATGATCACATGAATAGGCTGAATTATCATGTGAATAGGCTGAATGATCATGTGAATAGGCTGAATGATCATGTGAATAGGCTGAATTATCATGTGAATAGGCTGAATGATCACATGAATAGGCTGAATGATCATGTGAATAGGCTGAATTATCATGTGAATAGGCTGCAATATCATGTGAATAGGCTGAATTATGTGAATAGGCTGAATTATCATGTGAATAGGCTGAATTATCATGTGAATAGGCGGAATGATCATGTGAATAGGCTGAATTATCATGTGAATAGGCTGAATGTTTAGGCTGAATGTTTATCTTCTGTTCATTTAAGGCCTTTAAGTTGCTGATGCTGCAGCACTTTGCAATAATCACTCTCTCACCAGCATTTCAGAAACCTGTACTCCAAAATATCATGAGAATATGCCAAATATTTTTATTCAGTTCTGGTAGTAAATAATGACAATTTTAATAAATTACGGTTCATTTCAAAGGGGGCTTAAAGCTCGAAGCCAGATAATTTATGTGACATGTCTGATGAGGAGAACCAGAAAATATGAGCCCTTGTACCATCTTGCCCGTGATTTATCCCTTGAGCCAGTTAATTTACAGCTTGACTGTAACCAAACTGTAAGATGTCTTTGTTACAGAAAAATTGCCGGGATTACCTTGTCTGGTGCGAATTAAAAATTCTTCCAATAAATGTGAAATTGATCGTAACCCAATACAGGCGAACTAGGCTAACCTCAGATTCTTCATGGAAAGAATACTAATTTGCCTGGTGATCAAGCTGGGTCAGTAATGAAGGCATTATTTGGAATGTACGCTAAGGTATGGCATGTCCTCATTGCAATTCGCTCAAGGTCTCTCATTTTGGGTGCAGTTTAAGCTTTTGAACACTCCCTTGACACTGGAAGCTTTCATTGGGATGTGTTGGTTGTAAACATGGAATGTGATTAATTGGTTGATTCTGGTTGCCGTTTTGTGTGGAACTTGTAAAGTCAGGTGTTGTGAAAAGCTGAAAGTATGGATGTTTTTGATGGATGTGGAATATGATTAGGGAGTTAATTGGTGGTTTAGAATAAAAGCAATTTAATATTGGATGTATTCTGAGATACAGACTTATTAATTTTGTTTTATTGCATTAATTACATATTAAATATTGGTTAATTATCATAAAGGCTGTTAAAACTGTTTTAATGTATTTGTTGCATGATATCAAACTATAAACACAAAGTTATTAGTTTGTGGTTATGTGTTAAAGGAAAAATATATTCTGGTACTCATAAAGGGAGAATTCAATATAGATTGTAAATTACGTGGAAATATTAATTTTTTTAATTACCTTTAATTATAATAAATTATGAAAAAATTAAGATTATAAAAATTGAATTCATTATAATAAAAATCTTTAATTAACATAATTCAGTAAGAACCCTAAAGAATCAATGTATTTCTATCAAATATGTTACACGAGATTGTCTTGTCTCCACGGGATTTCTCCCTTGAGAAATATGATATTGAATGTATACAATCCACTGATCGGGTAACTATGCCTTGTGTGCAGGGTATTTAGATTGAGATTACCTGTCGATTGGGTATACCATGCAGACAGTTGGTTCCACTTAGTTTCCGTGGAGAGGAGTAATGATTTTACGCACAGCGAGTCAATCCTTTATTAATCATGTGGGTCAGATCATCAGCGCTAATATGGTTACCAAGTTGAAATATTCTGACAAGTTTGTGTGAAAGTCAAGCAGACGTTCTGTGATCAATTTCTCTTATTTGTATATTGGGAATTTGTGACTCACTTCCCTCAGGCATGCTGTCAAGAATGGACATTTATTTTCAAAGAAACTAATCGATTGTACTGCATCACGGTAACAGTAATGTGTGACAAATGTGTCAGCAAAGTACAAACACATCCGTTAACTTGAATTAAATGTATTTACTTTAAACAAGATAGAATTATCTGTCAGATGTTTTTCGTTTTTGTCCCAAGTACACTTTTCACAATATATACGCCATTGTATAATGTTCCACACGATGTGATAACTTTGTTATACGAATCAATTTTCATGGATACAGGCAGGACAAAGACACAACACACTTAAACATGTTGGCAATCTGTTTTGTCGGGTTATTTTTCAATGGAGATTAGGTCACCTTACATTATAAAGAAGTCAGAACTTAACGTAAGATAACGCCAAGTCAAGTGTTTGTGAAACACCCTCGAAGTTCAGGTCTTAAAGTTGATTCACATTGTTACTGCTGATAAACACTCCATTTTCCCAAAGCTCATAATTTGACAAACAGTATATTTTTTAAATAAGATTTTCACGTGGATCTTATATCCAACCTCATGACTAGATTGGAGCTGGCTTGAATTTTCTTTGTTCATCATGTCGATATTCTTGCACAATAAGTTCATGGAGCTTTGCCCCACAGGTGCTTGGTCCTTTGTGGGAGTAATGGAAGATGAATATGGAGTTTAACTACATAATAAGTATAATTCATGTCTGGTATATTGGAAAATATCAGCTAGATCTGGGTCATATATTAGATGGACTTGATGTTCATATAATCTTCACTGCTCCACTGGACTCGTACACTTGGGGCGACATGATAGAATACTTGTAGCAAGGCGCCCTCCGACCTTGATGACAAGCACCTGTCGCCATCATGTGACATCAGCACATCACAAGATGAATAGGAGTCTCTGTGTTTTTATAACACTGGGATGGAGTTATGATCTTTTCTTTGTAGTTCATGTTTTATTTCTCGAGAGCCTGTTACAGATTTTATCCATCACTCTCAGAGAAACGTTAAGCTCAAGTAATCATAAT